GTGCACGCACAAACACACACGCAGACACACACACGCACACACACACACACACACTCTCTCTCTGCAGGTCAGGCTGGTTCAGGATGCTGCTTTATCCTCCTTCATTTATTCAGTGTGTCTCAGTGTGTGTCCTCTAAAGCGCAGCTATAATTTCTCTGAGTGTGTTTTCACAGTGCGCTGGCGTCAGTGACGCACGTGTGTATGTGTGTGTGTGTGTGTGTGACTGATCTGAGCATTATATGTGTGTGTGAGTGTGTGTGTGCTCCTCTGTCCTCTATAGTGAGGTGATGTCTGCGCAGATGAAGCGCCGCAGAGCTCCTCCTCCTCCTCCTCTATAGGGCAGATTTACATATCTAATTAATTATGCAGATGTGATGAGCAGATCTCCATGTACAGCTCAGTTAGCTTTAGCAGTGTGTTTAGCAGTGATCAGTGAACAGCTGATGTGTGTGTTCAGTACAGGAGAATCTCAGTGTTTTCAGCAGGTCAAACTAACACACACTGACGAACCTCAGAACAACACGCTAGTCTTACAGTGTGTGTGTGTGTGTGTGTGTGTGTGTGCGCGCACTCAGAGGAAATAATACCTCTGATCAATGCTGCACTGAGGCTCCTTCTCCTCTACAGGTTAAAGCCACACCCACACCACCTGAAGTCCCGCCCTCCTGTCAATCACTGTCGTGCTGTATGTCCAGAGCTCTGCTGCTCTGTGAGGGACGCTGAACAGACGACATGAGGATCAGCTTAGAGTCTGAACACGAGAGCAGATCTACTGTCAGGACAACACACACACACACACGCACACACACACACGCACAGTTCACAAGAAAACTAATGTGTGTGAGCGAGTGTGTGTGTGTGTGTGTGTGTGTGTGTGTGTGTGTGTGTGGGAGATTGTGTCGTCCCAGTGCAAATAACATTCACCTACATCTGAATGATTTTGAGCTGAACAGCTATATGCCCTGAAGCTGTGTGTGTGTGTGTGTGTGTGTGTGTGTGTGTGTGTGTTTCAGAGCTAATGTTTGTCTCCGGTCACACAGATCAAATTTTAACCAGAACGACACCAGTGGCCATGTGGACACACACTCCCTGGAAACTCATTACCGCTGGCCCAGATTCACACACACACATACATGCACACACACACTATCTCTTTTTCTTACACACACGCACATGTGTGCTCATACATATGCACACACATATACGCACACACACACACACACACACACACACACACACACACACAGACACACACACACACACACAAGG